TAGCGACCCCTTAGGTCCACTCAAACGGTATGGCATGTGTATTTTTGTATGTTTCGTAGTGAAAATAGGCAATGTACAATAAAACAACCGGTAACAAATCTTTTTTTTCACTAAAAAATTTACAATTTTAGCTTGATTTGACGGCCCCTTCGATGCACAGAAACGGTATGACACCTATCTTCCGATTGGTTTTTTTGACGTAAACTATCACTAGAAACACATGCCATCCGGTAACTTATTAGGAAAAAAGCAACAAATTTTTGACAACTTCAATCACACGCTATCAATTTTAAAACCGCGGGAGGTTTGCCATACTTGCGTTTCCTGCATGGTTACCTAATAAATTATGACGATTTCAAGCGGTAACAAATCATGACCATTTTAGCGTCATCATCTCCCGGACTATTATTAAATATAACATAATATATGTTTTTATAGGCTAAATTATCATTAAGTACATTGGAAAAACTCGTTACGAAATGCTTTGTTGATGTACCAAGTAATAAGTTATCTCCCGATGACTATGTTCCTATTGTTTCTTTTGGAACTCCCCAAATCGAAAAAGTATTAACCGAAACAAGGTCTCATATATCACATGTGATGTTTAAGCAAGGTGACGAAGTACGTCAACTTTAAAACTTCAAGACAGATTCGGAAAAGTTATATTATGTAGTAAATATATGTATATGATAAATTAAATATTGTCTTTGCAGGTAGAAGTAACATGGACAATTCCTTTACCACCCGATTTTTATAACAGTAAACCTCATGACTTTATCGCATGGATTATTAGGTATAGAGGAAAAGGTTCTTTAACAAGTTACCTACGCAAACAAATACCAAGTTGTATATGTTCAAGTGATATTGTTCAATGTAACAGTGAAACGTTTTTAAGATATAATTGTGCATATATTATGTTGAAGCTTACTGTAGTGCTTTTCTGTGCGGAACAAGAACATTTGAAGGAAGTTCTAGATGCAATATTTTCCTTTATTAATTTACTAAAAAAAGATGATCCTCATAAAAGGACTATTTACTATGACATTTTTAAGATAATGGAATATAATTTTAGGTAAATTTATTTTAGAAATGTGTAAAAAATATATAAAAAGAGATATGGTTGAAAACGGAACGTGTGTCAAAATTTACGTATGTGAAACAATTTGAGGTCTTTTTAGATTTATTAAGGAAAAAGATTCTGTGGATTATGTCGTAAGTTTGTGTAAGGATATGCACTTCTATCCACCACGTGATTATATAACTGCAAATAACCTTATTTGTGTTAAATACAACCCAGAAGATATACAAAAGTGTTTGAATTATTTGAAGCCGGATACTGCGATTATCACTATTTTGCAAGGACAACCTTGTCCTTTGACTTTTGATAATGAAATTCAGTCCTATCTAAACTGTGACGAAAAGAAACATATATACATCGAAGTACCAACGGAATATACCGAACATTGGAAATCAATTGAGCCGTTGCCAAATTTTCATTTACCATTAAAGAATGTATTCATTGCCAGCGACTTCTCTTTAATATCGATACCAGATAAAGTTTCGAAATATCCTGTAAAAATATACAACGATCATGTATCGGAAATTTGGTATTGTCCGGATCTCAAATTTCGTTTGCCGAAATGTTACATGAATATTCAATTTGTTTCCTCTCTAGGAGTTCAGTCGCCGAAGAAGTAAGTAATAGCATGGAACGTATAATAGTAGGTACTACTTCATAATAGCGCTACTATTGTATTACTGACCCTATATATGCTAACTTTTAACTACCATAGTGAAAACTTTTTTCATATTTCTTTGGGATACATTAGAAAAAGTTACGATATTTTTTAAAAACTGAAACAGGGAACATTATTTTGTTCGAATTTTTTATAAATATGAATTATGATATATTCTAAAATTTTTTATTTTATTATTTCTGAAAAAATGCTTTAGAAATCTTAAAACATTTCAGAATTCACATATATGAAGAATTTAAAAAAAATAGGCGTTCGCTCGCGCGCGTGTGTCTTGATAGACTTTCTCGATATTTCCGAAAAGCATTTAAATTTATATGTAGAATCTGAGAAAATTGTTTAAATGTTATAAAATTAATCAACAGTTCCATAAGTGAATCTGAAGTTTCTGTAAAAATTCTGAAAAATTATTTAAAAAATTATAAGAAAGAATTACAGCATGGTGTAATTGCCGATCTATATTTATATAATTTTACATTTGTATTTATATCTTAAGAAACTAACATTCACGTTTATGACGTTTTAGTGCAGTTCTTATGGAAATATACTGTCATGCATTAATACTGCTTTTGTCCGAAGAATTATATCCAGCTGTGGTAGCTGGAATTGAATTTTATATCTATACCAGTGATAAAGGTATTATAAGCGAAATAAACGGATTTAATGAAAAATTGCCCGTAAGTATAAAATCAAGCATGTGTTGAAGTTATAAATACAAAAATATAATTAGCAATATAATATTAATGTGGATAACGGTGTGGTAATTTAAGCGCAAATTTTAAATATATTTCGTATTTCATTAACAGTATTTTTCGGTCATTTTTTAAATCTTCTTCAGTCTAAAGTTTTTGATTTTATATTAGATTTTATTTGGTATTCATACAGAAAGTATCGCAGCTATTAATTTTTTATAGTATTCGTTAGATTTAATTCAGGGCCAAATTATAAAAGCAAAGGAAAACTTGAAGCCGAAATCGTAACAGTACAACATTTTTTGTTATTAATAAATAATAAATGAATTTTATTTCTTGTTTCTAATTGACTAGTACATATGCAATTATATTTTTTTTATTCTCCAACATGATTGCGGAACTTTATATTATTAAAGAAAGATATATAGTATATTTCTTATGTTTCGGCGGTTTTGAGCTTTCTATTTATTTTTTTAAAATGTATTATTTACTTGAATGTTTTAATCATTGTATAGAATTAATTATTGCATTAGTGCTCCGATTCAGCGCAATGCAAGTGAAATTAATATGAGAGAAAAATTGTTTCCTAAGAATTGCTTGAAATGTGGCCAAAACTTTTGATATTTTTAATATAGAATATGTAATAAAAAATAATATAATACAATGAAAAATACACATATATACATATTGTTGAATAAAGTTCAGTAACACAGAGCTGTTGTTGACAAATATATATGTGTATTTAATTATACTCAGTAATAAACAAAAAAGGCGTACAGAAAAAGAACTTAGAGATAATAAGGAAGAGGCAAAACGTTGCGACACACAACAACGTCTAGAAGGGCAACGAGCAAGTTTTTCAAGGCGTCGACAGATGTCGACATCAGTGTTTGTAAGTGTGTCTTGAATACATATATCTTCCAACAC